AATCAGTCACGCTTCGGTCTCCGTGGGGCAAGGCGGCAGCGCGTTGTGGAAGTGCCGGCCCAGCTCATCGCCACATGATCGGGTCTTGGTTGGAGCAAACTCCCGGCCAACTATCCCGATTCGCCAATCGCGTCGGAACTGCGCAAGTTTCTGGTGGTTGGGGAAGGTCAAAGTGGCGATGGCCGCCCACGAAGGCGTGGGGACCAAGCGGGGGCGAGCACTTCATTCGTTTATGAACCCGTTGACGTGCAGCTCGGGCCGTAGCTTATCCAGTTCAGAAAAAAGAACACCTTATTCATCTTCGCTCTCATACTTACTGACTAGATAAGGCCGATGGGTGCACCTGAAAAAGAACAGGCTCCCGGAATCGAACCCGGAACCTTGTTCGTTCCTCCACACGATTTTGATGCGGCGCCCGGACGGCAGGGGCAGCCTTGCGATATTTTGTTGAAACGCGCAGCGCCAAAAACATGTTAGCCAACCGGCACACAAATCTTGTTAAGGAGGAAATACGGGTCGGAATCGGTCGCGGGGGAGGACGGGGAGGGGAGGGGCGTTAAGGGGGTCGACTGCTGAAGGAGTGGAGTAGAGATAGGGCAGTTGAGTGAGGAGGGCATAGAGCAGAGGGCTGAGAACAGATTCGATTTCCTTCGACCACCCGCCTCGCCTCCCTTTCCAAACACGCTCCATGTTCTAGAGCACCAAGTTGAGGAGAGCAACCCGACCGACCTGCGCTGTCTGCGTGCGCCGCGTGTGCTGCGCGCGCAAAGTTAAACTTTCCCGCAGCGTGCGTTTTGAATTGCCCGCGCCGGGCGTTGGATGGGTGGCCTACCCCCACGGCGCTCCGCCAGTCCGTCCGCCAGCGCACACGGACCGGACCGACCGAGCCAGTCGGGTTGCCGGTGCGGCGTTTTTGAGGCTAGGCTGACCGTGCGCTGAAAGCAATCGCACTGACCTCATCACACGCACACACGCACTCACACCCACATTTCCTCACACAGTCCCACACACACATACTCCCACCCTTGTGATTACGCAGTCCGAGTACGCGGCGTGCGCCCGTTGAATCAGAGTCCCATTGTCACGGAAATACTCGTAGCTGTCCGAGCCTGACTGTCCCAACCGACAGACAGGCGGGAAGCATTGTATCGAGGTGCGGCGCGCGGCCGCCCTCGTCTGCAGCCGATTCCTAAATTGATCGCGTCGCACACAAAGCCCTTTTATTTCCGGGACTCAGTTTGGCTTTGAAGCTGTGCCACCTCCGACCCTAGCTGAAAACTTCGGAGGGCTTCCCGGTCCGGGGCTGTCACGCCAAGCCGCCGCGCTGCCCGACTTTTCTCCTTTTTGCGCCAAATGTTCGGTTTACAGTAGTTGCACCGAGCGCAAGATTACGCTATCTGCGATCTGTTCGCAGAAATGCTGCCGGCAGCTTTCAATTGGCCGAATGGTGAGCATGGCTTGACTTTTCGTCTCCAATGTTCCGCTAGTTGTTTGCCTGGAGAGACGCTTTAAGAACTTAATCGGATTTCGTGTCTCCGGGAGGCGCCGTGCACTTTGCCGCAGGTCACATGCTGCGGTTTGCATAGCCCACTCGCATCGAGTCCAATGTACACAATCCGCTCAACTTAAATAATGCCCGCCAAAACTTGTGACTGACTGGCTGCCTGCCGGACCGACCAGGACGGGCCCCGAGGCCTCCCTCGCCCCACCACGCTCTCCGAACGCTACCGCGCTCAAGTCCAAAAGTCCCCCATGCACTCGGCAGTAGTGCAGTACTGTTGTTGGAGTGCCATGATACAAATTGGGGGAGCGGGGAAGGGAGTGACTTGCCTACCAACAGACGCAAATTAAAACTTTTTGCCTAAGTTCCCGCCGGGCACCGAGGGCCCGGGGGCAAAAGGCCTGGGACGGCAGTGTGTGCAGAGTAAACATGAGTCGCAGATAACCTCACAAAACTTTAAGCCGTCGCCAAGGTAATTATTGTCACCGAGACGCGATAATATAGGTTCCTGAAGTTGGGTGCTGTCGTCCCGGCCAGCCTTCGGCCTGGCTTCGGCCTGGCTCGGCTGTTGTCCAGTAATCAGCGACACCGTGCCCCACCTCCCCAATTACAGTTTAACACATTCACGACCGTCCGGGAACACGCGTTCCCGTACGGGAAAAAGTCCAGACGACCATCCGGGAACACCGTTCCCGGACAAATCCGATTTTCCGATTTCGCCTCACAGAATTGTCACGATCATGAGACATATTTTTTTGGAACCGCCTCAACGAAAGACGCAAGTTACTTTTTGAACGGACCTCGTACGATGAATTTGGTACGGGTACATGATTCCCGGACGGTCGTCAGATACATGTCCAGTCCGGGAACACCGTTCCCGTACGTAAAAGCGGCCCAGCAAGCTAAATGAGGGTATTTTCGGAATCAGCGGATCGAGCCCAGGCCATTCGCACACTTTTCGACTTGGTTTGAGCTGTTACAACCAACTCGATTTTGACACGGCCCGATTCTGCTGCATGTCAAGAAGGCCGCGTGGAAATCGGGTTGGTTGTAACATCTCAAAAAAGGTCGAAAAGTATGCGAATGGCCTGGGCTCGCTCCGCTGATTCCAAAAATACCCTCATTTAGTTTGCTGGGCCGCTTTTACGTACGGGAACGGTGTTCCCGGACTGGACATGTCTCTGACGACCGTCCGGGTACACGGTTCCCGGACTCAAAAACGGCCATACAAGCTTCAAACTGAGACTTCTTGCGTTTTCTTCCTTATTTTTGAAAAATAAAATGATTTTGGTACTCATTTTGATCGGGAACCGTGTTTCCGTACTGCGTTCCCGCATCTAATGTCGTTGGCGTCCACACGGGAACCCTGTACCCGTGAATGGGCATGGCCCTCGCGACCGTCCGGGCGCGGGGTTCCCGGAATTTTTTTTTTCGGCTGGTTGGTTTTGTTATTGCATGATTCGTGCTTATATCTAGTCGCGAGGTCTGGGAGATGCATGGTTTGGTCAAAGCAGACTCCGGTCCTGAGAGGAAGTTTGCCCAAAACGAGTCCGGTCGTGAATGTGTTAATGAAGGCGAGAAGGCAGGCGAAAGAATCGGAGAAAGGGGCGACAAAAGGCCCAACCTGCACCTCACGGCGACAGCCAGCGCCAAATGAAACGGAGGCCTCAAAAATAAAATCGATAATTTATTCTGTGGGCTTGTCGTTAGTCCTTTTTGTCCCGCTCGTAGTTGGATCCCTAATAAAGGCGTTGAAGGGTTCTTTGGTGACCAACTCGTTGCGATCTGGTCGAAGAGAAGTGCTGCTGGCGCTGACCTAGACTCGTCTGCGGAGATGGGGGCTCGAGAGCAGAGGGGCTGGACAGTGGTGAATGAGTTACTTTGGGGCATTTTTAAGGAACAGGATCCCTGTCCTTCAACACGGTTTTACCTTAGGCCTACGCCCTACGAGGTGGCAGTCTACCTCCCGGAGGCGCTTCCTCGGAGCGAAGCGAGGCAGGCTGATTCCGAACAGTGCCTTCGTCCTGTCCCTGTCGCACTCGCCAGGAGCTTCGCGCGGGAAAGAGGCGAAAACAGAGCGAAGAACTTTCCGGATGTAGCCTGCCCTGTCGTCGAGGCGAGACGAATGCAGCAAGCCTGGAGGCCTGAAGCACGAGGAAGGAAGTCAGAGGATTCGCGTCCGCAAACTAAAGTCAGAGACCTCTGGTGGCTGAGCTGGAACTAAACATAGCGGGCGACGGAGCAGCGGGTTTTTCAAATTGGAGTTCTCTGTTTGGCCATGATTTTGTGCTTTTATTCGTATATTGCGCTTTTAAGTGAATAAAATGGGTGTGACTTTTCAAAAATAAATGCCGCTCGCTGTTGTAGAAAAACGCTGTCTTGTATCAGATGCCTTTCTAATGGCTAAGAATGAGAAAGAACGTCCAGACCTAACCTAGTCGGCATGTTGTCGGTCCGCGCCATGCCTCCGGTGGCGTCTGCTCCAAGCGCTGACACGGGGAGGAGGGGAAAAGTGGCTAAATATTAAATTTAACAAATTAGAATTGCTAAAATCACGCTCATTTGAGGTCATAGGAGTCCATAGCTTCCGTAGAGAATAAAGTCACAGACAAAAATAGTATAGAATCTAACGAAAGTACATTAATAACGAAGAAAACAAGCCACCTGTTTCGAAAATGGCGGTGCTCCGTCGCACGCTATCTGGGGGCGACGGTGCTGCGCTCTCGCGTCGTTGCGGACGCGAATAGGCACTGGAAGACAGTAGCCCCCACCACCTTACCGCACCAACCCGCAACCACCCGCGCAGCGAGTTAGACTTGCCCAGCACCAGGCATAGCGCGGACCCGTCCCCCTCTATCCCCCTCCCTACCCTCCACCACCCGCGCCGTCCTCACGCCGAATGTTTAGCTCGCTGCGGGGGGGTGAGGAAAGCAAGGCAGGAAGGGTGGGGTAGGCTTGGGATGGTGGTGGGGGCTACTGTCTTCTCAGCCCTATGGCGACCGGCGTCGCCGCCACGGCACGCCACTCCACCAACCGAGACGCTTTCGGATTCCGAGTCTCCCTGGCTGCTTTCGAAGAGACAAGCTGGTTTTCAAATTCCCTTCAGATGTGACAAGCTTGAGATATTTGTTATTTGTTATTCGATAGGTCAACACTAACCTCCTCGGGAAGGTACATACGATCTTTCTCGCACTAATTATTAAGATCTTTCTCGCGCGGCTCCAATAATTTCGATACTTCTCTTTGGAAAGGTCGGTATGTTACTAGTTTACTGCAAGGCTCCAAAATGAAAAAAGAAACAAAAAAAAAAATCTGTCCGAAAAAAGAAGGATCATCCCGTGTGAGTACGCGCTGAACGAGGTGCGACAGCAGATAGGAACGATTGCTATTCTTCCACTCGTGTAGAGGAGATGGCAACGCAGATAGTACATCTTGTGAACATGGGTCTCAAGTTGAGGTGAGGTGGCCGATAAGCTACTTGCTCTTTCCTTCGAGTCTCGCCTCGAGTAAACAGTTTGGATTGGCGTATATACGTGGCGAGGGATCGAACACGCACGCCAGTATCTGAACGGCATTGCAACCCGCACCTTCAAAATCGCGTCGGAACAGTTTGGACTAAAGTACAAGTGCCACCGACTTCGGACGACAACACCAGTTCAGAAGACGTGGGAACGGCGTCGTTGTGACTGTTTCTGCTAAATTTTAGTGCGTTTTGGTAGGTGGTACTTCGTTTCCTTATTGAAAAAAGAGACTATTGGCAGGATAGTCACATCGACCACCTTCACCTGTATCCCACCAGGGCTAGTGGAGTCAGCCCACTTTGTTTGGGATCCCCTCGCGAGCCACGCGCCACCTAAAAGGCACCTAGCGTGGTTCCTGGTTGGTTGTGAACTCGCCACTAATTGGCAGTGGTACACTGCAAGTGCCTATAGTTACGCCGTCAGCCTGGCAAGGCTGACAAAAGCAACTAGAAGTCCGTCAAACGTGGCTATGTGGTAGTTTGGTGGTCACGAGTGTCATTTCGGAACGCCCCGTGGAACGTCCCGTCACCCAACGCCGCGTGCGAGTAGCGCGCATCCGGTGGATGGCTAGCTTAGAAAAGTTTTTCACACCGAGCAACGAAGAGAGGCGCCGGTATCCGAACGGCTCCGAGGAGCCGCTTGGGTCTCTCTCGCACCCCGGGGGCCCTGCGGCACGCGCCACGAGAGCGAAAGAGATGAAGCGACGAAATGACTCTTCGGAATGGATCTGCAGGTGTGGACGGGCAGGCGCGGCCTGACAGAGACGCTTGTTTTGCAGTTCGATATGAGGACCGAGACGAGCAAGGAACATGAGGCACTGCCATCCGAGAAGGCCTGCACGTGCCTGGACCTCTCCGCCGGTACCAGCGGCCCCGGCGGCTCAGGTGAGGCCTACGCCACTTCCGTGGAGCACATTTTTCTGCCCGTTGGCTCGCCCGGCATCTGACGCTACTTGGTCGGCCCGCAGGTGCATTCCGCTCGAACTTGAACTTTTCCACCGAAGACAACATCCGCAGTCACGCCAAGCCCAACGCGCTGCAGGCCATCTTCAGACTGGGCGCGGACGACACCAGCAGACCGGAGCCAATCTGTGAGTACGGCCAACGAAGGGACGTTGTTTTGAGAATACACTGGAAGATTCTTCCTTCCGCCGCTTTGCGAGCAGAGGATGGTAAAGATGTCAACAGCGGCTTAGGAAAGGGATCACCGATCTGCCTGGACAGCTTTACTGCTCTCGCGTTCACGATAGCCTTATCCATAAAGCCGTTGTGTCAGTTTCCACGATCGGCGGGTAATGTCCCTTTTTTTCCAAGGGCCCCTTCAAACTAAACTTGTCGAGCTCAGGAAGAAATAAGAACAATTTTCGTAACTAAGCCCATTGACGTTGGCTGCACCGTTGCCTTTGCCTCTGGTGTGAGTGACGTGTGGCGGAGGGCGTTCTCTGCTAAGACGCAAACAAAATCAATACCCAGTCTAAATTCCCTTTTTTCGCATATCTCCGTCCTGCGTTATCTTTTGATTGCACTGTGGGAAAAAATCACAGTAAATCCTGTAGTGATTAGTACAGCTGTCACTGTAGTTTAGAGTACAGGATTTACTGTACTTTTTTAACAGGATCTACTGTACTTTGTACGGGATTTACTGTACCACAGGAGTGAAGTACGGAATATCCTGTAGCAGGTACAGTAGATACTGTAGCCAGGCACGGTAAATCCTGTGTTCTGAACTACAGTAAATCCCGGCAAAAAAATTAACGGGATTCACTGTGATTTTTTCGCACAGTGTGGTGTTGCGCCTCGAGGCACTCAATCTGCGTGTCGTTGTGACATCTCATGACTCACACAGCGCTGCGGCTTGAGTTGGAATGTCTCAAAATCGCTGATACGACGCTGCGTCTCGGCTGCTCGCTCGGCTCATCAGCGTGAATCGGCACCGGGCGCTTTGTTGTCAATCTGATTCGGCCTGTTCGCGTGCCAGCCAATTACCACGGGCTTGTTAGGGCGTCACTTCACGGTTGTGTAAGTGTAAGTGTGTGGGTGTATGTGGGTGTGGGTGTGTGTTCCTGTCCTTCCACCCATGAGCACCTGTAACGTTCCAAATAGAGTACTGGTCCCGTCACATGCCGTTGCGTATTTTCCGCTCGTATTTTTCCTCTGGAGCCTGAGGCTGAAACTTTTGGCCCGGGAGGAAACAACTTTCCTCCTGCCGGACGCGACAAAAAGCTACTTTCGAGGCGATGCAGCGCGACGGACAAGGTCCCGTTCAATTAACGGGAGGCTCCGGTGACAAAGACTCGGGTAAGGGGGGCGGGGGGCGTGGGAGGCCCTACCTCAGCAGGGACCAGAGGCACCCCAGCCGGCAGAGGAGTAGTTCAGAGATAGGTCGGTTGCCTCTCCCCTTTTTCCGCGTGGAACGGCTGGAGTGACGTGGTCACGTGGCGAGTGTCTGTCTTACACTGTCGCAAGCGCAAGTAGTGCATGAGGCGCAGTGGGACATGCATTGACAGGCTATCGGTACGGGAAGGTGGTCTGTCTGTCTGTCTGTCTGTCTGTCTGCCTGTGTCAGCGCAGGTGTGTTGAGTGTGTTTGTGTGTGAGGGGGGGGGGCATGTGCCTGCACGCCTCTGAGGGCATCCCTTCCCTTATTCCCGGCCTTCCGCATTTCCGGAGAAGCAGAATAGCGTATTGAGAGCGCGTCCGGGTGGGGAGGGGGAAGGGGTGCGGCAGAGAGGGGGGGGATAGAGAGAGGGGGCGGAATACGCCTCCAAGACGGCAGGGCGCGCTCGCACCGAGGGCTTTTCCGCCGGCAATGGCTCCGTACAGTGAAACAGAAACAACGAGGTGGAGGAGAGACACCAGGTAGGGAGGGCCGAGGGCGACCTAGACAATCCCAGGGCGTAACAACGTAACAACAACCGCGATGGTGGCGCCGCACGGCGGGTACTCGCACCATGCGGGTCTAATTGCCGCCGCTGCTCGGGGGTCAGTCTTCGGCCTCAGTATTTGCAGCCGCCACGCCGCGCCACGCCGAGCCGCGAGACCTTCCGGGTGGCTGACACCCCGCGACCCCACTAGATCACGTCGACTGTCGTGCGAATAGTGGCGTTCGAGTCGAGCCGAGCCGAGTCGAGCCGAGCCGAGCCGAGCCGAGCCGAGCAGGACGGACCGCCGCGACTTAGCGCCGTTAAATAATGGCCTCGTCAGACCTCTCTTTGTCTCTCTCTGATGCGTCAGCGGGGTGCAGGCCGTGCAGGGGCCCTTGCAGTGCAGGCGACCTCCCGACCGGACAGGTTCCGAACGCCGCCGCCGCCTTCGCCTCTCTCTTTCTCTTTCTCACGCGTTCTTGAGGTGTCCCGTTGGGGTGCGAGAGAGGCAGCGCGACGACGAGCACGGTTCGGATTGAGACCGCGCTGGCGCGCTGGCGCAGCCTGGCGCCCTGATCCGGCACGCTACGTCACGATAGGGGTCACGACGTGCACCGGCACACACGGGTCTTAATTACCTCCAGGGCAGTGCGGCTCACACACACACGCACACACACACACATCCTCACACACGCTGCCCCGCTTGGACAGGCGCGAACCAGAGGTCGTTTCGTCGCAAACTATCGGTGACCCGCGCCTTCACCACCTCCAGCCAGTGTAGGCGAGTGGCCACACTGACCTACGCCTCGAGTGCAGGTGTGAGTGCAGGTCCAACCACAGGCAGCAATACGATTTAAGACGCTAGTTTCCCGCATGAACCCAAAGCCCTGTTACGCCCGCCGCTTTACTGCTGCCCTTTATTCCTTTGGCTGCACACATTGCCGCGCATTGCCGTCCGCGCCGCGCGATTCAACGATAAGCAGTTTTGCCCGGTTATATCAATCTCCCCGCGGAGTGCGGAGCGAGTATCCTTTCCGATCCGTATCTTGGCGGCTAGTGCTGACTGCCGCTTTGGTCGCTCCGTCTCTCTCGCACTCAGGGGGCGTCCCGCAGAGGTGCGAGAGAGACGCGCACCGTTCGGTACCATCGGCCCCCTAATGGACGCACGTCAAGCAAGACCCCGCCGTCCTACTGACTGATTCTGTGAGTCATTTTCGTCGCGCTGTCTCTCTCGCGCTGGTAGGGCGTCCCGGGTAGGTGCGAGAGAGACCGGAATCAGTCCGCGGGCCGCGTACCGCACCGGCCGCCACGCGTTGAGACGCGGCCCCGGCTGTCGCCGACGAGTAAGTGCCCCCGAGGCGATGGTGCGCACCTCCGAGACTCTAATTCTCGATTGAGACGGCTGCGCCAACACGTTCGGCTCGGTCCGGCCGACAAGGGCACGGGCGGCACGGGCGTGGCGGGAGGCTTCGCGCCTGCGAACTTCGGGGTAGGCACCACCGCGAGGCTCGGACGCCGCGCGGGTGCCTATGCTGCAGGCGCGCTGGCGGGCGGGCTAGCTGGGCGGGCGGGCTGGCTAGTCAGGTGGGCTGCCTGGTGGTCTGTCTGGTGGGCTGCCTGGTGGTCTCTCTGGTGGGCTGCCTGCCCGGCGCCCTTCGGCCGCCGCGGTGGCAGTGGCGGGCGTCGCCAAGGCAGCGCCGGCCTCGGGGACAAGCTGCCTTATTCGATCCATATTGCAGGTCGAGTGCGTTGTTGCGCGCACGCACGCACGCACGCACGCACGCACGCACGCACGCACGCACGCACGCACGCACGCACGCACGCACGCACGCACACCGGCTACTCGATGATAAAACAGCCGCGGAGACGCATGCGCCGGGTCGCCCCTAAGTGTAATCGCGTGTCAATCGAGGTCGATTACTCGATCCTCGTTTTGGGTCGAGTGGCATGGCCGTCTGTGAATCGACGGGCCTCTCTTGCTAATGGCGATTAAGCTTCGAAATCACTAGGTCAACCAGCAGACCGATTCCGAGAGTCGTCTTCGTCGCTCTGTCTCTAGGCGGCATGCCCTAGGTGTGCGATGGAGACAGAGCGACGAAAACGACTCTCTCGGAATCAGCCTGCAGTGGGCCGAGGGCGCGCCGTGCGTACTTTCCTCTAGGCTTTTTTCACGTGCCCGCCAGGCCGTCCTGCGAAAATTCGGGGGGGGAACAGGGAGGGAGTCATTTTCGCCCTTTTTTTGCCGGCCGGTGTTAGCGCCGCTACAAAGGGCTTGGCTCGCGCGATCGGCGCTGCTCCACGGCTGGAGATAAATGGCACTTTGTCGCCCAGTTTCGGGAACTCTGCGGTCGAGGCGGCCAGCCGGACTCCGCGCAGCCAGCGCGGCCAGCGCAGCGCGCAAGAAGAAGTGCGTCGTCGGCGACCTGCAGACTCATTCCGAGGGTCGTTGTCGTCGCTCCGTCTCTCTCGCACTGGTGGGGCGTTCCATATTGGTGCGAAAGAGAAAGACAGAACGACTTTCAGAATCAGTCTGCTGGACGCCAACCGCGCGGTGGGCACCGTGCGCGCACTATGACTCCAGCCGTCGTCTGCGTGTTGGTGTGTGTGTGTGTGTGTGTGTGTGTGTGTGTGTGTGTGTGTGTGTGTGAGTGTGCACGGGGCACGTGCTGGACAACTACTATACGCCCCGACGGCGTAATTATGTCATGTCGAGTACGTGTGTACGGAGTGTGAACGTCTTACTACCGCAGAGCCGCACTGCTCCGCTCCGTGCGTGCCGCGGAAGGAAACTGGAGCGACTCTCGGCACGACCGGGAAAACGACACATCCAATGCGTCAATTTTCGTAGCTTTCCGTCACTTTTGTTCAATTTTTCGAAAGTTGTGATCTGGATCTTGGAAAGTCCCCGAAAGACTTGTATGCCCTGGGGTATGAACTTCCTGCAGGTCTAGTACAATGTTGATCTTTTGGAAAAGCGAAGGCTGCGGAAATTTTCGCCGGAGTTTCCTTTTGGAGGGCACTACTTTATCCGTTTCCCGAATTTTTTCTCAACAGTGAAGGCCGTTAAATTAATTCCCTCCTTTTTTAATCCCGGTATCGAGGGCCGCGCTGCGGGGCCGGTCCTCGTTGGAAGGGTCAGGCTGCTGGGGCGAAGCAGGGCGAAGCGGAGCACACCACATCAATCTTGTTCTGCTGGAGGATGCCGGTAGGAAGCCCCGAGCGGGCTGTCCGCCCAAACACCTGGCCGGATCGTCCGGATCGTCCCCCGGCCGAGGCAATACTTTGCCGAGCCCAGCAACACGGCCCCCGACAAGTGGGCCACCCTAATTGTTCCTATAAAAGCGGGGCGGAAAACGCACACTGGTTTTATTTTCCCCCTATTTAGCTCCGCCGTTACCGCGCGCGTGTGTAGGGTTTCCCTCGCGCACTTGCCAGTTTTCCGCGTTTCGGCGCGCCGCTTCGGGGCCACTGCGCACTGATAATGACCCGGCTGCGCAGTCGTTTCCATCGCTGTGTCTCTCTCGCACTCGTGGGTGCTCCGTATAGGTGCGAGAGAGACAGGACGATAACGGCTCTCAGGCTGCTGCACGGCTCAACTGCACGGTGGCCACCGCCGTGCCGCGCCATCCATCAGGGGCACCACACAGCCCGCTAGACCCGCCCGCCAGACTCGCTAGACGCGTGGTTTCGAGCAGGCGGTGCCCTGGCCGCTTCGCCGCCCTGGCTGGATGCCCCGGCGGGGCCCGGACGTGCTGTCGGCGGCGCTAGCAGGGGAGGCAGCGCGGTATTATGTTTACGAGAATATTGAGTTGCATTTCAATCATGTGACGACGACGCCCAGCTGAAAGCTGCGAGGAGATGGGCCTCATTGATCTCTGCCATGAGCAAAAAACAAGATAACAGCAACAACAACATCAAAATACGCAGCGAATGTTTGTTAATATGTTTCCAGCAGCCAGATGAATCACGAAAACAATGTCTTCGTCGACAACTTTCATCATGGTTTTCATAAAGGCGCGCCCTGCGTGCAGGCGCCGATGCAGCGTGGCGCTTCCTTGACGTTCATTATTCGCACGACGTTTGAGGTTCATTATTCGCACGACGACGTCCGCGCCACCGCGCATTATTCGCAGGTTGTTGTTCTCACCTCGCGGACACCGCTTTAACGGGCCCCAAATTTAATGAGGTGAAATTTCCAAACGACTCGTGCACACGTCTTGCCGTAACGACGTCGTAATGAAGGTCGGCATTGGAAAATGGGGGAGGGGGAGGGAAATTAAAGGTGCACGTAAAACTGGAGCTCTTTACCTCTTTGGACGACAGGAATTGTCAATGTCATGACAGGCGGTCCTCGCGTTCGTATTGGCGCCACCTGCCCGCCGACACGTCCGCGCGGCACTCCGCCCTCCCCTTCTCTGAAGCCCAGGGCTGATTTATCGGGGATTATCTTTACGACCCTCGCTGTATAAGAGCTCGATTAAGCCCGGCTTAGTCCGGGCCCGACATCACTTACGCCTGCTCAATCGGTTGCGGTTGCAGCCGTTTGACTTTTGAGAATTTCCCGACCGTCCCGAAGGACATCGACAAACACCTTCCGGGGTTGCTTGGAATGAACGCGAGTGCGGCTGCGATCCCCCCAAAACAATCGAAGAACTCGATCTGCTACAAAACCACGCAGGCTGATCGTACTGACTCTTCTGATCGCACCTGGCGTCTGAAATGAAAAATTCCTCGTGATGGATGCTGATTCTGTTTCTGTCTGTGATTGCAGGTGATTCCAAGACTCCGCAGCAGGATGGGGACGCACCGGAGAGATCAAGGTTAGAAGACATAAGACTCCAAAAGACTCTCCCCGCGTAGGCGCGTGCTTTACAGCGTGTCGTGTCACAGGGACTGGATCGTGGACGCGGGCTCTGAGTTCCTGGCCACCGCCCTCCTCATGTTCGTGGGCTGCGCGGGGGCCTTCATCGAGATGACCAAGCCCTCCACCAACGTGTACGGCGGCGCGGCCTTCGGACTGGGGGTCTTCATGTGCACCTCGGTGGGTTAAGTTTTAGCAGAGCGTGGAACTGGAGCTCAAAACCTGTCCGGGATTTCGATCACCTCCACCGGTCCTCTAGCGCGCTGTGCAGCGTTCACTTCACTCTGGCTTCGCATCCGCGCCCGCAAACTCCACGAGGTTCCTGGAACAAGGATTCCCTGGAAGCACACACTTGGCGCGTCTGTCTGTCTGTCCGTCCGTCCGTCTGCCCGCCCGTCCCTCGTCAGCCGCCTCGTCTAGTTGCTGGTTCATTCATTCGCTACTCCTTTTACGGTGGGCCTGGCAATGCCGTGGATGGGTACTTAGTTGAAAAGAATAGAGTGCCTCACAGCGAGAGGGATAGAGAGGGGAGAGGGGGGTCGTTACGAGGAAAGTTCATGGCTGGGGTGTCTTGAGGACGTAATTGAGTGGAATGTCATTCACGGCCTTTCATGGCCCAAGCTGCCGGAAAGTGGCCACCCTTCCGCCACCTGATCCAATCCGCGCGGTGCCATTTTCTTCCTGCTTTTGAGCGACTTGCGACTCGAATCAAAACACTTACTAGTGGGTTTACCTCCAACCTAGGGATCCACTGACACATTCGCGGGTTCAATTCGAGGTCTGATTGCGACTAAGAGCTGAGGCGTGTACGTTGTCCTCCGCCCTGGAGTTCTAGCTGCACTGTTATTCTACGCACAACGAATAACGGTATGAATGTTGTTGTCCTTCCAGATCTTCGGCAACGTGAGCGGCGCGCACATGAACCCGCTGGTGACGCTGGTGAACTGGGCGTTCGCGGGGCTGCGGTGGACGCGCGTCCTCGTGTACGTCGTCAGCCAGATGCTGGGCGCGCTCGTGGGCATGGGGGCGCTCTACGTAAGTCCCAAAGTGATTTATTAACGAAGCGGCGTGCTATCAAATTCGCATCCACTGCACTCGCTCGGCTTGCGGCACGCCGCTGGTTTGGGAGGGAAGCTCAAGTTTGCTCGGACGAGTGGTGCAGCGCGCTGTAAGGGACGCGCCGCCCTGCCTGGTGGCACCGAAGCCTTGTTGAACATATCGGGCCCAACAGCCTGGCCGAGAAACTAGCCCGGCGCCAAGGTCAAGGCCTGGTTACAGCCACTGTGTACATCAAGAACCTCGCATGCTGCAGACATTTACTTTCTACCGTCAGTAATCACCTTTTTCATCTGCACTGTTGAAAAACTGCACAGCAAATGGATTGCTTTCCAGATCGTGGTGCCCCCGGACGTGCAGCAGGCGGTGGGTGAGCTCACCACGCCGACGTACTCGGCGTGCTGCACGCGGCCCCTGGACTCCATGTCGTCGTGGTCCGCGGTGCTGGCCGAGTTCGTGGTCACCAGCATCCTGCTGGGGGCCGTGGCCGTGAGCATCGACAACCCGCCGCCCACACCGGGCCTGCACTTCGGCATGCTCGTCTTCGGCATCTGCACCGTGGAGGTACAGAGAAATCAGTGGTCGACCCCAAGAGCTAAAACGCGTTTGACATTTTGACCGCCTCTGTACCGGTCTTCTGGCCCACTGTGCATCACTCACACTGAGCATGGTCAGGTGGAGTGATAAACGAATCTTCCACGTAACAGTTTTTTTTGGCATTTTCAGGCAATGTACACTGGAGCTAGTATGAACCCCACCAGGACGATAGCTACTGCAGTCTGGACTGGCGTCTGGGATCGGTTCTGGGTGAGTCCTAGTATTAGTGGCGTAGACTCTGTCTGTAACCCTCACATCTCCGCATCTCTTATATCTTATCGTAATTCGGATCCTATTTATCTTTTCAGGTGTACGTGGTCGGACAACTGTTCGCCCTGGCCTTCGTCGTGGCAACTTTCGCGTTCTTCCGCAAAAAGAAACAATGCTAAGTTTTAAGCGAACAAACTAAGATAGACTGTTGAATCCATTGCGCATTCATGACTGTAAAAAATAAAGTCTTCTTGACGTATTTTCCTATTTTTCCTATTTTACCATAAGTTATTTTTTGTACTGTTTTAATGTTTCATGAGGACCTTCTCAGGGTCTTTTCTAGGTCTGATGTCTTTAACATACTAATACTTCGAATTAAATGTATTTTATTTTTTTGTACTTTTTATTTTGTGCAACCCCACACTTGCAGAAAACCACCGACTGGAGAACGTTATGCGGCATTTAGCCTGCCGGACGAGACAATGCTGGAAGGCCATCCGTTTCAGCCGCAAAGCAGCGCTAGCAGCGCTCGCCGATTTGCTTTCAGAAGAAGGTCGGTTTGGCTGCACTGCTTGCCTGGGGAAGGGGAAGGGGGAGGGGCGTCCACTGACTTTTTGCGGGCGTCGTCCTACAAAGCGTTGCAGCCCCCACCGTTATCAAAGCTAGACGCGTGGCGCCAGTCGCCTCGGAGTCGCTTTCGCCGCTCCGTCTCTCTCGCTCCCAAACGGGACGCCCCGCGAGTGCGAGAGGGACAGAGACCACTCCCGGAATCAGTCTGCTGGAGAAAGAAGAAAGGGACCGCAGGAAAAGGGGAGGGGCCTTGTATGGCCGTGGCGAGTAGTGGCTCGTGTTCATTTCCAGTTTTAAATCCATTTCAAAACACCCCTTTTCTCGCCGGTCCCCACAGTGAACTGTTTTTTTTTCACGTTGCCCGTCGCGATTCCCGGCAGTGGTCGGATTCCGCTCAATGGGGCGTCCTGCGGCCACGCTGGCTGAATCCGAGAGTCGTTTTCGTCGCTCTGTCTCTCTCGCACTCGTTGGGCGTTCTTGTGGGTGCGAGAGAGACAGAGCGACGGAAACGACCCTCGGAGTCAGTGCCGCCTTCTCCGGACCCAGCGCGTCGTCGTTGACGGTGCCCTTCAGCGGCACGGCGCCCTCCAGCGCCTCCAGCGACGGCGAAGAGCGCGGCCGCCCGATGACCGCCAGGCGCCGCCAGGAGGGGTCATGACTGGCGCGGGGTCACGAGTTGTTTTCATACAGTCGTAAAATAGGTGTGACCCCGTCGCGGGGCGTACTCACCCGCGTACTCGCCGGAGCAAGGCTTCTTCGATCGCATCTCCATGCAGGCCAAGCTCGGCTAGCGCGGCTAGCCTGGCGTGCCGAGCGTGGAGCGGCCAGGGCTCTTTAGTCGAACGGAACACGAGGGCGGTCCCGGGGGGAATCTTTATGAGGCCTTCCCCGCAGACTGATTCCGCGAGTCGTCGCTCTGTCTCTCTCGCACGACTCTGCGGCGCTCGCGTCGTCCTGTCCCAGAGTCGTCAGCAGCCCTGCCATTCCTGCCGCGGCCGGACACGCGCCGGCCGAGCCGTTCAGAAAAGCGGTTTGTCGCGCTCTCTCTCTCGCACTGGTGCGGTGAGAGCCGTGAGAGCGACAGAGACAGAGCGAGACAGAGACTGCGGCGGTCCGTACCGCACACGGCGACGCGGCGCAGAACGCAGCGCCCATATCGGAAGCCTCATAACTCGTGCACCAGGAATTGCGGGCAATTATGGCTTGGGCATACCGGAGGAGCCGAGCCGAGCCGAGCCGGACGGCCGTTGACGGCAAAATGATACCGTTTCCTGCGGCGAGTAGGAGGAGGAGCGGTCCGGGAATTAATCTTGCCCACAATGCGAAAAGCAAATCCATTTGTATGCGGTGCTTTTTACTCCTCATACTACAGCGGACTCCTCGCGACGGTACAGTCTCTCCAGGAATGACTGGAGCGACAGCCTCGCGCATCCAGGCATCCAGGTCATGGGGCTCCCCGGGCTGGGCTCGCCCACACCCGGGGCGATTAACGCCGTGAGTGATTGACAAGACTCTGCCGTTCCAAATCTCATTTGCGGACCGACTCGGCCTCCAGTGCACCGCAGTGCGCACTCCTCTTGCACTCTCGCCGAGTCGAATTGTCAAAGATTATTCATCCGGACGAGACGGCGATGGTGTCGGTTTTGCCGCTACGCCGTGCCTCGCGACCCGGTAGCCATAAAGCAGCGGGGGTCGTCCTGCGACCTGCACTGCAAGCCGTGGAGCAGGCCGAGGCTCACATCGCTCCGTCTCTCTCGCACTCATGGGGCGTTCCGTCAGAGAGCGGGAGAGACAGAGCAGTGCTGGGAATCAGCCTGCAGGCCGCGCATTGCAGACCGTGCGGTGACCACCTACAACATTAAAAACAACACGACGGCAGGGCGGCAGGGCGGCCGGTGTCAAGGGCGTCCCGGCGTCCCGGCGGCGCGCCGGGGCCTTATAGGCCGGGTACTCCGGGTGGCCGTCGGGCCGTCGGGAGGGCCGGAAGTGCGCCTCGGTCTACGACGCCGTCCCGGAGCCCCGGCAGTGTCCGACCTTATCTCACGGCGGCGGCGGCACTTTTGGGCCTCGCGACTTCCAAATGATAAGTCCCGCATTGTTATGCGCGTCTGGACGCCCTGCCGCCCCGCCGCCCCGCCCCCCCGCCGCCCCGCCGCCCCGCCGCCCCGCCGCCCCGCCGCCCCGCCGCCCCGCCGCCCCGCCGCCCCTCCGCCCCGCCGCCCCGCCAGCCCCGCCGGCTAATGGTTCGCGGACTGCAGAGGATAGCAGGAGCCCGATTAGTATTCCTGGGCGGATTTTCGGTCCGGGCTGCCAAGTGAAGGTCCTTCCTGTACGACACATCGCATATCTAGTGCCGGCCGGTCAACCACGTCACGCGTCGGACCAAATTAATCCGGCCGAAAAAGGCCGAAAGAGGCGGCTCCATTGCCGAGGCCGTGGTTTTACGGTGGCGGTAACGGGCTGCCCGATCGGGACGCCGTTCGGGATGCTGTTCGATATGAGTAAAAGGTGGAGGCGACACGATACTCGGTGATGACAAGGTTACGACCTCGTTGGGCACGGCACGGCACGGCACGGCGAGCTCGATAGACGCCATAAAGGTGCGCTATGCCCCCACGACACTGGTGTGCTTTTCTGCGCAGGTCTCCGCTCACCCAGCCTCCCTGGAGTCCCCCCTGGAGTCCCCTCTGGAGGCATCACGGCGGCCCGTTTTAAAATGCTTCCCCGACACCGCACGCCGATATGGAGGGCACTTTCGGCCGCGATAGCGATCAGTTGGCTGGTCTTCCTCTCTCGCACTCATGGGGCGTCCCGCATGGGTGCGAGAGAGACAGAGCGACGAAGGCCCCCGTTGCAGGCAGCTGCTGCAGCCGGGCGAAGCGCCGCGACCGAGCCACTGAAGGCACTGCGGTGAGGAGAGCCGCGACACTCGAAGTCTCGCACTGCCCTGAAAATACAATGAAATGTCACGGATGTTTGCGCTTCCCGGTTCGCGCTCGCGCACCATCCTCCGCGGGGCAAAGTACACACACTCCTCTGCACGCTGATTCCGAGGGCCATCGCCCTGTCTGTCTCTCTCGCACCCACACGGGGCGGGCCGCGAGTGCGACAGAGACAGAGCGACGGAAACGGCCCTCGGAATCAGTCTGCTGGGACAATTATTATTCGGTGTGCCCCTCTACGCAGGAGAAGCAAACGGCAGCCAAGTTGCTCACGCTCAGGCCGTTTTCGTCACTCTGTCCCTCTCGCACCTACACGCAACGCCCCATGAGTGCGAGAGGGACAGAGCGACTCAGTGTGCAATTCAATTTACTCACAATTCAGTATGAGAAAATTTGAAAAAGAAGCTGGAGACCGTGCCAATGCGTTTACCAGTGATGTGGACCAGCATAAATTCCTGCCAGTTTCTCGTGGCAGTGTACGTGCGTGTACCTGGTGACGGAGACGGGCAAGACGGGCCGGTGGCGTCCGATCGCGGGCTCGCACTCGGGCCTCTGGACAAAGGCGGCCGGGGGGAGGGGGCGGTGGTGGTGGGGGCCCCGCAGCTCCGCATTCAGGTGAGGCGGGGGAGGGGAGGGGGGAGCGGGAGGATGCGAGCCGTGCCGTGCCGGCGGTCGCTGGTGCTGCTGTAGTAGTGGTGCTTCTTGCTCTACGCGTGCTGCTGAACCTCGCCGTGCCGCTCGACACCACAACTTACTCGTGTACTTTGCTGCCGCACTGCCGCGTGGACGGCGCGCGCTCGCCAGACCGCCGCGACCGCCGCGACCGTATCGTCCAGACGAAATCGCGACAGTCCGGCATCCCCTTCGCCTTTCTCCGGGCCTCTCTCACTTCAGTGCTCGCGAACGGCCCAAAGCGCGCAGACGGCTCCGTTTGGATTCGTTACCCGCCACTCATTCTTCGGACTGTGCAAGTCGTGCTCGCCGCGCGGCCAGCGGGTTTAGCGTGTGTTCATCGTGTGTGAGTGCGACGGCCACGGTGCCCGCCGCGTGGACATGAGCCAGCCCGCCACCACGCCCTCGCCGCCCTCCTCGGGGGTGGGGGCGGCGGCCACCCCGACCAAGGGGAGCGTCGGCGGGGCGTCGACCGCCCTCAGCAAGGAGATGGAGGCGAACCAGGGCCAGCAACCGAGTGAGTACTAGACCTTTGGGCCCTGCAAAAGCAAAACGTGACGTCACACCCGGATTCGGCCGGCCGAAGTGTCTGCCAGATAAATGGGAGTACGAGGAAAAAGTGCTCTCGACGCCGCGACCGCCGCCGCAGAGAGGCCCGCAGTCTCATGACGCTGGAGGTCTTGCTGGGAACCTAATAATAGCGACATTGGCCTCACACGAGGCGCACCAGGCTGGCGGGGCGGGGCAGCAGAGCGGGCAGGGACCCACGCTGGTCGGGTTAGGACAGGTCAGGCTCTCGCTGGGCGTCTGCGACTGGGGCCCCGGCAGGCCTCAAGGCACTGCCATGGCCACTAACGGTGCTGCCGAGTGTGGAGAGTAATGGAACCAATTTGTCGCAAGAACACTTTCGTTAAAAAAAATTAAAAAAAAATCCCTGGTGTTTGAACTGTAATGATATATATTGGGCTCAGTGCCAAAGCAAGGGTAATCGCCCTGAAAAGCACAGCTCTTTGTACTGTACACGCCCAGCTTGTACCAAACCCCACCAAGCATTTGCCGAATCATTTTCATAACACG